GTCTGTCTATATTTTTTAGATGAGGTATTATGTATAGTATTTACATTAGTCGGACTATTGTCCTCATCTTTGTCGCCATATTTATCACAACGTTTCGGCCGTTGTACGCTCCGGCCTTCTTCAGGTGGTTAGAATTTCGAACTGAACCCTTTATTTCGATCACTGGGGTAGACTGTTCTAGTTCCACGTGCCATGTTTGATGGATGTCAGTTATCAGTTATCTCCTGCTAGTTTTCCCTCTGAAAGTTCTCCACTGCCTTAACCAGGTATTGAACTCACCTTCTTTGGGTCTGTCACTGGATCTAACCAACGCCTTTATCCACTGTGCCATGTGTCCTTGAGTGGCACAGTGGATAAATAATCTTTACATCAGTAGCAAGTTCAACAAATCCGACGAAGTAGACCTGGCAGCTGTTCTCAAAAAAAAAAAAAGATCTCCAATCAGTTGTTAATTGGGGCAAGAAATGGTTTGTTAATTTGAACATCTACAAAATAAAATTGGTTCATTTATTCACCACAGAAAACCTTTTCTGTCTGAATGACTGATGCTAAACTCCAAGGGAGCAACTCTTTGCCCCATCCTGAGCTCACGTTTTCCACTGACTTGAAGTGGAGCGACTTTATTGAATAAATTGCTAAAAAAAAAAAATCTTGTGTCGTGCCAAAAGATTTTCTGGTCAGAGTCCATCATGCACATTTACAAATCTACTATTCGTCTGTGCATTGAATACTGCTTCCATAGCTGGTCTGGTGTTCCTACTTTATATCTCTATATTCTTGACAAAATTCAAAGAAGGATGTGTCATGTTATCGATCCAGATCTGGCATCTTGACTACAGCCACTTTCTCACCGACATGACGTGGCTTCCCAATATCTTTTCTACAAATGTTTTCATGGCAACTGTTCTAATTAGCTTTTTCCCCCTGGTACTTCGACTGCACGAATTTAAGCGTGCTACAAGACTGGTAACTAGGTCTCGCCGTTTTACTGTTGACTTAGCTATATGCAACCGTCCATTCTATTTTAATAATTTCATTTCTCGGACTTCTCACCCGTGGAACTCCCTTCCGATTTCTCGCTTCGCTGCCAACTAGAATCTTCAAATATTTAAATGCAACGCCAATCGCCATATTTTGTGTTCCTGAACCCTGCTCCTTCATTGTCATCTCCCTAATTCTCTTCACTAAAGTCTTTCCTTTCTTTTTCACTCCTTGTAAACCCCTTCTGCGTCCTAGTGGCATTATCACCTTGCTTGGGGTGAAATGATAACAAAAATCACATTCTTCCAACAGTCACCATAATATCACAAATTCTCCATGAAGCCCTAACTAGTTTCCCAAAACTAAACGTATCTTAGATGAGAATCATATTCACTACTTTACTCGTAACTGATCTAGCGAGACAAGCTTGCTAACCATTAGAACACATAGAAGTGCCCATTAGGAAGATATGTTTATGTAATAATCAAAATAGACAACATATATAAAACCTGCTCTGACAATGAGACCAGGGATAAACATACTGCGACTAAAATTTACCTATCTCCAAACCAAGTAAATACTTATGAACTCAAATAAAAAACGACAAACTAAACCAAGTAAATGCTTACAGACTTAAATATAAATGACCAATATTTACCTATCCTCTCTTATTAAAGCTAAATCAAAGGCGAACAATGTACACAGGGATTACGAACACCAAAGACCAAAGGTTTTATTAAAGAAAATATAAAAACTTTCAGGCTAATTACCTTTAACCCGACCAACCACTTCTGCTTACAAACAGATGGCTGGTAGGACTTAATGTAAACAGATTCCAACACCTTCAAATGAAATTAATATTTCCATTAAATCCTACCAGCCATTTCTCTGCAAGCAGGCGGAATGGTTAGTAGACAAAAATGTAATTTGTTTGTACGTGTTATATTTTCCCCGTTTGTTAAAATGTCTCCATTTTCTTGAACAGCTTTCAATTCAGATCTACCTGTGAAACATGAAACTGAATACGCATTTGTTCCTTCAACCAATCAGCGCCTTTAAGGGATTTACTTTGAGAGTGTAACTTGAATTCTTTATTCTCCGCCCCTTGTCTCAAAGCGTGTCACTGATGATGATCTTTACGAACAAAACTTGAGCAACAGAATCAAAGAAATTTGGCAATCTTTAATCTTCGTGCCTGCAAAAAACACGTTGTGTCAAAAGGACGGATTTTCCCTTGACACCGCTATTATTTTAACTTCCTTCACTCCTCGGCAATCTTTATTGTTTTAAAAAGAGATGATTGGCATTTTAATAATAATTACAGGGAACCGGATATTTTCCCAGCACCTTTAAAAATTGTCACTCGACGACTGGTGTTATGTTCAGCACTCTGACTCCAGTGTTTCGTAGATGAACGTTTTTGTAATTGCCCGGTCCACGCATCAGGAGGTTTCAGTAACTGACTATCGATTTTCTTATTTTCGTTGTGTTTATTATAGTTTATATTAAGTTAAAAAAAATAATTTATGCGCTTTTTTATTAGTGTTAGGTTGATTTTTTCTTCTGTGTGTGTGTGTAGGGCCGGTGTGTACTATCGACCGGGGGCACCTTGATGGGGGCCTAGGTGTTTTCGGACCTTCGCTTTCTTGTCGTCATTTACTTTTCTACCTACATTTATGTACATTACAAATTAAACTAAGCACAATTGACTATTAAAGGATGAAAAATTTCGCGGATTTTGACGTCATTCTGGGTTGATTATTTTTTTCATCCCAACCTGTGAATTTGTTTTGCTCCATGCTAAGTATCCCCCCAAAAAAACACTATAATAAAATTTACTATTTTTATCCATAATGTTGATTGTGTTAAATTATTCAACTTTTTAACAAGAAATATTTCAAGTTGATGTTAAATATTGGTACAAAACATTGTTGATTTAACATGGAATGATGTATTATGACATGTCTCTAACTTCTATTTAGATACATTGTATTTATTTTCAATTGTTCTCCTATATTTCATACTAGCAGTAGAGCCCGGCATTGCCCGGGGATGTGACAGTAAGAGATAGATCTAGTATCGACCGTCATAAAGACTGAAAAATAAAATTGACAAAGATTATTGTTTAAGGTTGACGGACACGCATGTCTTAATTAGTTTTTTTTTTTTTGTTCTTTTGTTTTTTTTTTAATTGGTCAAACCCAAACTCAAACAAAACATTGTTTTCAATCGTTATGAGTCTATCGATTTAATAGAATTTTATTATAAACAATTGTTTTGTAAATGGAATTTTTTAAAGCATTCTGAATGTAAAAATAAAAAAAAAATTGTGCAAGACAATAAGAAACACTACCTGCCAAAAAAAAAGTTGTTTTGTTGAAATCGGTTGAAAAACGTAGGAAATCCGATCCCATATATAAACGAACACACACACACACACAAACAACCTGGGTTTTATAATAAACAATAACTCGATATGAGTTGTCCCCCTTTCATTCTGGCGACAGAATCGTGTTTTATCATTTTTTCAAATTGATTTCGTTAAAAACAATTGTGTTTTTCCAATTTTTGGCACTGTCAGAACCACCGCAAGGTAATTTTACGCAGTCCTGTAAAGTTTTGTTGAAATCGGTTGAAAAATGTAGGAAATCCGATCCAATATATAAACGAACGGACACACACACACACACACACACACACACACACACACACACACACACACACAATCTGCGTTTTATAATAAGTAAGATGATCTATTATTGTACATAATTAGGTTACAATAAAATGTATATTTTATATGAATACAATTAACATGTAGTAGAGTGGAGGGCTCTGTATTATAAATTCTTTTTTGAAGAACAAGTCTGACTGGAAAGCAAAAAGCCAGAAGAGAATTCCACAATAAAGAAGTGCGAGAAAAGAAACTGTTACCATAGAACTCACGGTTACATCAAGTCATTTCTACTGTAAAATAAGGAGACTTTATCGCCAATCTTGTACTGCGCTTAAATTCAAAATAATATCCTCATCTTTTATTGTTTATCATAACGTTTCGGTCGCTGTGCTCGTTGGCCTTCTTCAGATGTCTGTCGAGGAAATTTCAAACTGATCACTTTATTTAATCTACGGAACTATATTGTTTTGGTTTCTGATGTTTCTCACTTTCCCAAAATTCCCAAACAAGGTTTGTTTGGACTTTTAGAAAAGCGAGAAACATCCATTAGCCTTTTATGGGAGACATTTAAACCATTTCTGGTTGAATTAAGTTAAGAGGAAATGAGAAAATATTGAGTTAATTCCAAAAAGCACAGCATGGTATCAAATGTAATTAGGACACTTTAGACATTAAGGATCATGATTCTTTTTCTCACTTTATCCGTCAGCCGATAAATTGATATAATCTTATTGAAGTAGGCTTTAAAATCAATTTCAATCGTATTAAGCTTTTTGGCCTTGTGTATAGCAAAAAGGAAAAAAACACTCAATTATCCCCCACTCTTTCTTTGTCCTGGGTATGACGATAAACTACATGATCGGGAGGTTTTAAGGAGTGTGGAACCACCACTTAATAGATGTTGCTCCCTGGTCTACCTTGACCTGGGGTGAAAGCACCTGTTAGGGTCCCAGCTATAGACAAATAGTGAAACACCAAACTGAGGCAAAAAAAAAATTAAAATATGAAAATACATTAGAAAAATTACCAGCAATACATTTTTGGAAAAAATAAATTGTAAAAAGATACCAAGATCACAAGAAAATAAAATGTTGGCATTAAATGACCCATAAGAAGTTGATATGCCATTAAACAAACAAACTAAACCCCCTCTTTCTCTCTCTTATCGGTACACAAACAGAAATTGTTAAATACTGTCTTATCAGGTTTCATAGATTTACAAAAGAAATATTTTGCTTCACTACTTCTTTTATGTGCTGTGCCTATTAGGGACATTGCGTTCATGCCTCTCCACAACTTCCTATCCTTCGTAGTTTATCTCTTTAGTAACTGTGCCATTCCCTAAGATCATATCACATTGAAAGACCGGTTCTCGTACGATCACCGAGGTTAAACAACGTCGAGCCTGGTTAGCACCTACATGGGTGACCTCTTTGGAATACCAGGTGCCATAGTTTGGATGTGGGGGTGGTGTAGTGAATAACAGATCGGTATTGGAGATCGGAGAGCCTAGTTCCACTCAGGTTTTTTATATCCACTTACACGCAAATACACCTGGGAAATATATGAAGCCATTTCTTCTCCTCCCAGCTATGGGTTAATTAGTAGGGCTTGTATCTGTAAAATCATAATTATATCGAAAAAATTCTTACAATCTAAAATACTTTTGGCTTTAAATAACCTACAAAAGGTTGATAAACTATAAAAAAAAAACAAATCACTCACACCCAAACCCTGATCTGCCATTTATTTACACAAACTCATTAAATAGGTTATTCGATGTTTCCCTCTCCCTAATTACAATATGCTCTGTGAGCGTCATATTCATTAGCCTTTCCTTATTAAGCGTTCCAAAAATTTCAACTGTCTCTTTATTCTAAATAAAAGTGTCTCTTCAACTGTCTCTTTCTTATTCTAAGTAAAAGTGTCCTTTATGTTTTCAGGTTCATCAAAACTTCCTCATTGCTCATATTCTTCATCCATGGTATTCTCAGAAACCTTCTGTAAAACCAGATTTCCGTTCCCTGACGTTTCCGCTTCATCTGTGAGAAAATAATCCTGCATTCACTGCTATATAGAAAGATTGCTATTACCTAATGTCGAACAATCACGTGGTCAAGATAAACACTCAGTTGTGGAGCAAGCTGAGTGAATACTAATTCAACATTGAGAAAGAGAGCTATTTATGGTGCAATGGAGCATCTCATTATGCTAAAGTGGGATAGTCCATTGCTTGGGCTGTGATTGGCTGCTGGTACCTGAGTGGAAGTATTTCTATATAAATACTAGCATGATTTCTCAGTTAGTTTGCAGGGTTTGTATTAAGTTACAACCTGCTTTATTTTTGTCTGCCAGCTGGACGCTAGCTGGGACTCTTACGCCGGTAAGTGCTGTTTATTATTGTTATTCTACACCTAAATGTTCAGCAGCTTTTTTTTCTTTCTTTTTGTTGCCTCAAGTCTCCTCTTCATCTGTGAGGAAACAGTTCTGCATTCATAGCTATATAGAAAGATTGATATCACAGATCATTCCAACAGTCTTTTCTTTGCTTCTGACAAAATTTCCCTGATCTTTAATATTTTTCCCTAGATTTTGGCTGTATTTTTCGTTGTATCCTAACCCGCTTCGGATCTCTGTGTCACATTTTCCGTCGTCTGCTATAATAATTCTCTGGTAGTTACAATTCATTACTTGCTTGATTTTGATATCTTCGATTTGTAGCATCTATCTTAGAGTGTCCTTTTTGCTGATGACCATGCATGCTGTCCGCTTAAAATTTTTGGTTAGTCCTTTTTTCCTTCTTTCCATTACTACTTTGTTTATGATTTTCTAAAATTTATCTTTGCCTGCCATTAAAACTGTGTCGTCTGCATATCTAATTTTATTATGATTGTGGTCATCAATAATAAATCATGGTAAATCCTCTTGTGATCATCTCGTTATAAAAGTTAAATACATCCAGTAAGAACACAATTTTCTGTTGAAATTTTTAGTGTACATAATGAGGAAAGAGGGCTAGGAAAATCTAATACTCACATGACAGACTGAAGTCAATAGGGAGAGAGGGGAAACAATGCATAACATACTTAGTGAGCTTGAGTAAATGGATGGCGGAACATGGTTTAGGAGAAATAACACAAAGACAAAATTTATTAAGAGCTACAAATTACAGGAAATTGGGGAGAGCCATGATCGCTAACGTTCTTAGGGGACTCGGACCACAAAGAAGCAGAAGACAATCCTTGTTTTACACCCGTTTCTATTTTTGTGCACTTCTCAATTCATTTTCTATCTTTATGTGGGTGGTTCCTTCACAGTAAATGTTGATTATTCTGCCTTTCACAAATCAAGTTTCCCTAGCAGTTCAAATAGTTCTTTGTGTCGTGCCTTATCAAATGCTTTTGAAACTATAGGTATTATGTCCTTCTGCATTTGTATTTTTCGCTTTAAGAGTATACTGACCATGAAAAATTTAAATACGTACCAATAGAGTAGCTAATTTCTTTTGAACATGTGGTTAAAAGAAATTAACTCTGTTGGATTACGCAAATTGAAGGATTGGGCAAGGAAATTCTCTCTGCCCCAGTTTCTTGGTATTGTAATTTTCCAAGCGTAGATGTGGCACAAGGCTGAAAGTATGGGCCACCTAGTAAGTTTCGACTCACTACTCAGTCATAATTGTTCTAGCGAGACAAGCTTGTTAACCATTACACCGCCTCGAGATGCCCTACCAGTTTCTTGGCATTTATCGTTGTTCCGCTTCATTCATTCTATCACAACAACACATATCGTTTTATTTATTATTGCATATACAATAATTGTGACACATGGTCGAAAGGGGGTGAGGAGAGGCTGGTCTTCGCTAAGTATCCTATTCCTAGTTAATAACGATCATGACCCATTCATCCAATACAATTGATCCATTTACCACAAGAACTCATTCATCACCATTCAATCCTACATATACCACAATACCACAGACTCACAGAAAAAACACCCCATGATATAAAAATTTCAAATTGCCTAAATACAAAAATATATAAAATTTCATGAAGCATAAAATGAGTGGGGAGGGAATGAACCCCGGAAACGAACTAAAATCTGGAACACAAACAAACTAAAAACAGATGTGAGTAAGACCCGTCCACCCTGAAAATAATTAGAGTGGCTACTGTATTCTGCCGATAGACACTCACTAATGGATTGGGGAAGGGTGAAATGAAATGACGGAATAGAAAGAAATTAAAGCCTGACCCAGCCGAGATGAAAACTGGGACCAAAAAAGGGGGGATCTTACATGGATCATTATTAAATTTTTGACCAAAGGCCAGTCAAAAATTAATTCACATTAAAATTTTGACCAAACCAAGGGTTCAGCAGGGAATTATTCCGCCCCCGTTGTGACCAAGTAGATTTTGTAGAATATTGGTTAAAAAATTTGGGGTCATGTGTTTATAATTGATGTTTGGACAGTCTCATCAACACAGTTGTATAACTGGATGTTGGTCTGTGCAGGGGTGGGGGCATGTTTGTCATTTTTAACAAATACCTCCCAGTCAATTCTGAACTTTCGGAATTGCTGTGACGTCATCTCTGAATGGCGCTGGGCGAGTTTGACTGCAGGGGCCTTTGTTGAAATTGTCTGATGTCAAAGGCTGCTCCTTTTTAGTTTGAGGATAATACTTTTTTCAATCCCATGGTTGTGACACCTAGTTCTTTAAGGAAAACCGGTCTATCATAGAGAGATATCCTTGGTAATCCTTTCTTTCAAAAAAGAAAAAGCATAGGTCCTGGCAGAGTCAAACTGAATGCCAATTTTTTTTAAACAGTCTTGCCAATCATCGGATCCTATTCACAGCGCCATGTAGAATATTGGTTAGAATTGCTTTGGTCTGACACACAAACAGGCAAGTGTAGCCAAAAAAAAAATGACTTGAATTTCATAAAAAAAAATATTTATGAATAAAAGACCACTCATGCAAATTGTATTGGACAGGTCCATTCTGGCAAAATGGACCAACCTGACTGATATATTAGGCACTCTATTATAAAATGAGGTAAAATCAGGAAAAGAAAAGGCAGCCATGTTGGCAGGTAAGTCAAATGACTTCTACAGACTTCAAAAATTTGAAAAATGTTAGCCCCTTTCACAAGAAAAAGCTCGATAAAAAATGATCGCTGAAATCTGTTGAACAAACGCTTTCTATCAGTTCTGATCTTCACTTTCAGCTGGTGCTGAAAGAATCTGATCAGAGTCTGATGAGAATAACGTTCGTATTGCAAGGTTCCCTCCATCTGCGACGTCCACGTCACAATTCGCGTCACGGCTAGCAGCGTCAGAGACACCATTCGTTTCTTCCCAGCAAACGTAAGTGACACATTACTGCACACGGATGCGAGATCAATGGGAGCGGTACGAGCCGTCGACTCGCCAACATAATCCGTGTGAAACCGTTTCTTCCAAGCCAAGGTCACACCGATGACAGTCGGGCAAATCCGCCCATCCCCATCTGAAGATCCTTAAATTGAGAAATAGCATGTTCCGAATCAATCGCCAGGTAAAATGTAATTTTTGCGAAAACTCAGGGTTACTGAGGGTAATTTTGGCGCCCAAGACCAGAAAGAGCGCAACTCGGCCAACAACAAACCGAATCGCTCATAGAAAATAAGCAAAATGTTAAGAAATTAGAAAATGTCCTTAAAAACGAAAAATGCAAGGGTGCTGGACCATTATGTGATAACTAATCTCATATGAGGCAGTGAATGATGAACTATTTTCCTCACAGATGAAGAGGAGACTTGAAGCGACATAGATGTTGTTCTACCAACAAATGATGAGAATACCATAGACTGAGCATGTGAGCAATGGGGAAGTTTTGAGACTAGAAAATATAAGGAATGAGACAGTTGAAGCTTGTAGGGTACATAATAAAGAAAGAAGGGCATGGAAAATTTAACAATCACAAGACGTAGGCAAGAGAAACAGGAGGGAAGTAATGAACATCCTACTTAACAAAATTGTGGGATTGGATAACAAAAGACAAAGAGAGTTGGTAAAGGGTCAAAAGTTTCTTATAACAATAGGAGATTAGACATATAATGAGGAAAGAGGACATAGAGAATTTAACACTCCCAAGGAAGACTAAAAGCAAGAGAAATAGGAGGGAAACAGCAAGTACCCTACTTAATGAGTTTGTGAGCAGAAACAGATAACGGTAGTAAAACAACTAAAGTCATTTTGAACAACAAAACCGTTGAGAATGTAACAGGAAACCACTCTGCTATATTTCTCAATAAACTATGGCAATTCACAGATAATAAATTAAAGGAAGCTGTGGAAAGCCATGATCACTTTGAATTAAAAAGAAAAACGTGAAGAAGGCAACGGGAAATCACTCGTTTATCTTTTCCAAAATGGCAATTCACAGATAAGGTAAAGGAAGCTGTGGA